ATAGGTATCGAAGAAATCTATATTCTCTCTCTGCCTGTAGCCCTTAACTACTAGGCGAGCTCGGGACCTTTCGATTGCACCATTAGGTTTCCGTTTCGTTTTTAGAACCCATTTATTACCTAAGACTTTGCAGCCAGGAGGTAATTCTGTGAGATGCCAAGTCTTATTAGCTTCTAACGATTCCATTCATATAACGGCTTCATTCCAAAAGTCTGCATCTATGGAAGTTAATGCTTCCTGCAAACTTTTTGGATCTTCGAGGGTGTATACTGTAGTAAAGTCATCACCAAAATCTTTAGAGATTCTAGCTCTTTTACTTCTTCTGAGTTCATCCTCAGATCCAACACCCCCACTAGTTCCGCTATCTCTAATAGCGGGTAGTACATTACCCCCACTATTTCTCGTTTTAAATGGAAATCGTGTCTCAAAGAAATCATCATCAATGAATTCTATTATAGTACGAGCATTCAAATCATAGAATCTATATGCCTTACTATTGGCCGCATAGCCAACAAAGACACATTCATATGCTCGACTAGCCAACTTAATCCTCTTAGGATCCGGAATTCTTACGTAGGCCAAACAGCCCCACGTTCTTCAATAGGACAGATTAGGTGGCTTATTCTTCAAGATCTCATAGGGTGATTCTTTTCTATTTGTTTTTGGAAGACGATTTAGCACATAGCAAACCGTCAACAAAATCTCACCCCACCAAGAAACAGCAGCTCCAGAATTGAGCATAATAGCCACAACTAATTCTGTAAACATCCTATTTTTCCGCTCAGCTTTACCATTCATTTCTGGTGAATATGGTGTCGTGGTTTCATAAATGATACCGTGTGAGCTGTGGAATTCCTTGAAGGGATTAGAGTCATACTCTGATCCTCTATCACTCCTAAGTCTTTTTATCTTTCGATTGCACTGATTTTCAAATTCAACCACAAATACCTTGAACCTATCAAGCGTTTCACTTTTGTTTTTCATCAAATAAACAAAGCAATAATCAGAGCAATCATCTATGAAAGTGATAAAGTATCTCTTGCCAGACCTAGTTAACGTCCCATCTAGTTCACAAATATCAGAATGAATCAGATCTAAGGGTTCTGATTCTCTACTCACAGATTTATGGGGCGTTTTCGTTATTTTAGCTTGGCTACAGAAATCACATTTATCAAATTCATTCATTGAGAGTTTAGGAATATGTCCTAGCTTGCTTAAATTCTTCACAATTCGTGTGTTCACATGACAAAGACGAGCATGCCAAACATTCAAATCACACACCATGTAAACTGAAGAATTCATCTTATTAATTTCGACATTCAACTTGAACATCCCATTACATGCATATCCCTTTCCCACAAAACTCTCATTCTTAGTAAGGGTATACAAGTCTGCCCCAATAGATTAATTAAACCCAGCCTTATTAAGCAGATATCCCGAAACAAGATTCTTCCTTATCTCTGGAGTGTGCAACACATCCTTGAGCACCATCTTCTTCCCAGAGGTGAAGTTCAGCTCCACTTCACCAGAACCAGCAACCATAGTGGTGTGAGTAGTCCCCAGCAGCACTTTCTTGTCAGCAGGTGCTTGTGTATGTTTTAAACATAGCACGATTGTTGCATACATGCTTTGATGCACCTGTATCCAGCCACCATCCTTCTAAGTCACCGGTGAGGTTGACTTCAGCGATCATATCCGTGATCATGGCTATCAAATCCTCTTCTGTCAAGTTAACCCTGGCCGTAGCAGCAGGGTTTTGCTTGTTCCTGCACTTTTTTGCCATATGACCCGGTTTACCACAGTTATAGCAGATAAACGGTGGGTCATTCTTAGAGGTTTGAGCCATGACCCTTTGGTTTCCTCGAGAGGTACCATTCTGGTGGGGGCAGACCTGCTGGTTCTTACTCTTAAACCCTTTCTGGTTAGGTTTAAGAGCTCTAGGGGTGGGTCGTTTAGCAGTGACGACCATCACCTCTTCTTTCATATCCTGCTTGCGGGACTCTTCCTCAATCCTTAGGCGAGTAATCAAGCTTTCCAGTGAAAATTCTTTGGTTTTATGTCTAAGCATATTCTTAAAATCTTTCCACGAAGGGGACAGCTTATCAATAATGCCAGCAACTTGAAATTGATCGTCCAGAGGCATACCTTCAGAGACGATCTCATGAGCTATTTTCTGAAGTTCGTGGGACTGAACTTCGACAGACTTGTCATCCACCATCTGGTAGCGCATGTAGCGGCTGGCAGCATACTTTTTAGCTCCAGCCTCCTTCGTGTCGTACTTCTTTTGGAGGGCATCCCAGATCATCATTGCGGTGTTCTTGTTGTCCGCATAGTAGTCATAAAGATCGTCTGCCAGGCCGTTGAGGATGTAGTTCTTGCACATGAAGTCATGCTCCCTTTCCTTAGCAGAAGCAGCCCTCTCCTCATCGTTCGCTTCTTCCGGGAGCTCGACGGGCATGCTGGTGAGGCAGTGTGTCAACTTCTTGGTCGTCAGGTAGAACTCCATCTTTTGTCTCCAGCGACGGAAGTTGACTCCAACGAAGCGAAATGGTCGATTGATATCAATAGCACCAGATCGGGCCATGTTGTTCTGTTCAGTCGACATAGCAGCAGCCGAACGTCTTAAAATTGTTAGGAACGGAACAACAACAAGAACGAGGTTACCGAATCTAGAGCTCAGCCGCGGACTAGGTCGCTTTCTTTAAGACGTTCGCGGCACTGCCCTCGATGCGCACGGCAGACTATCAACCGGTCGTCTCCAGGATAAAACAGCTCCTCTCTATACTCGCGGTTTTGTGCGAAAACCGAAGCTCTCTGAACACTCTCTCTATTGTGTTTATGCTCGTTGTGGTGTGTTTAGAAGGGCTGGGGAGTCTGCTATTTATAGGAGCCCAACCCCTAGGAATATACCCTCTAGCTTGGGTAATAAGTCGGATTAATTAAGGAAGATAATTACTTCCTTAATTAAAAACCGTCGGTTAAGATAAATCCTGCGGGATTATCCTTCGAATATTCCTTTTTAATCGATTATCCTTAGAATATTCCTCAGAATAACCGATTAATAATTAATTATTAGATAATTAATTTCGTTCGGAATTTCTCCAAAAAATATATAGTCTCAAGTGAACCAACCGACCGCCCGGACGGACGGCGCGCGCGTGTGTGTGGTGGTCCGTTAGGTCCTCCCTCTCCCACAAAAGTGGGTCACCCCAGTCCCCAAGGGGCATGCCCTTAGGAGAGAGGCTCCTATCTTTATACACATTTCACCAAGTAAAACTACCAATGTGGTAGTTTTTCTACTTGAAACTCTATAGCTTTTAAAACTATTCATTCATTTTCAACAGAACTCGGCCAGCATGGCACGAGCCGACTCGCTGAGTCGGGAGAGCGAGTTGAGCGCCTGCGATCTGACGGCTGAGGTTGAATCGGAGTTAAAAATCGACTCGATCTCGGTCCAGTTCTCGGATACGGTCGAGTACATGTCCAGCCTCCAGAAGATCCGATCCGGTGTTGGACTGTCCTTTTTCTTGATTATGGCGAGCAGCAACTCGGGGAACCATAAGAGGAGGGCATCACCGTCTTTTGAGATCTCCGCGAAGCAGGACTCCCTGACGAAATCGAACGCAGCGAAGATGTGGTCGCACAGGATCCACTCCCCGTTGAATAGCGTCTGTACCGCGACCTTAACCGCCTCGAGCTAGGCCTTGACCCGCAACTCGACCAATTCCTAACTCATCCTGCTCAGCGAGCCGACCCGCTCCACTCCGAGTCGGTAGATCCCTTCATCGATGATCGATTTTCGAATCACTTTGTAAATTCCGACGCACTCCTTGGCGTAGCCGGCGGAGATCATGCACCCGGCGATGGATCTCAAATCATCCATCGCGAGCGAGGAGACCTGCTCCACCTCGGCGATGGCGTCTGCTGCTCCGTCGTAAGATATTTTGTCTCATGGTAGCATGCTCTAGTCCCCTTACGATACTCTCGTTATTAGGTTAGTCATACACTGTACATGTTTCTAGCGATTCACATGGTATCATCAAATGATACAAGTCTTGGATAAGAATCTACAACGCACTAGAACGCCCTTGTTCAAATTATTAGCTTTGAAAAAAAAAACTCCGCCATCCAACATCCACATGTGAGTTTTAAACTCGATCAAAAAATGTGAACAAAAACTACAAGTTCCCAAGAGCCCCCGCAATTCGACAAGTCAAAAAACAGTGTTCGAAGCGTTCCAGCCGCAGAACTCAGAAGAGTAGACAGGACAAGCAAACCCTCGAGCCAAAACAAGTTTTATTTTTCTCAATATTTATTATGGTAGTGGGATTTTTTATGACGTTGGTCGGAGAAAGAATGGTGGTAGGAGTTAATTAATTAGTAAACTAATGAAAGCATGCCACGTTCCTGCCACACTCCGCCAAGTAATGAACCGTCGACACTTTCATTCCATTCCATTCCATTGAGCCAACCCAACCCAACCTGCCAAGCCACAAGGGCCGCCCATCCCCACTCCGCGTTTGTTTTCACAATCACACAATAACAGACAGCTGTGTGACTGTGAGAAAGAGAGAGACAGAGCTGTCCATCTGACCAAATCGCGTTTTGACCTTTGCGTTTCCATATTCCCTTCCTTTCCTTTGGCCTTCCGATGACTCGTCGTGCCGGCCCAAGTTTCACATGAATTTTATTTGCAGAAGAAGATAGTCAGTAACCAAGTACGAGATTAAGCTCTATCGTACCAAATTAATTCAGAACAACACACAAGCCACAACGAAATTATACAACCAAGTATATGATTAGATAGATGGATAATCCACAGTTTCCAATTCATCACCAATAACTCGCAACATATGCCTCCAGACTTTTGCTAGTCTAACAATCTCAGCAGCAGCAACACCAAACCATAATCATAATCAAACCCATTAATTAATAAATTAAGAATATCAGCAAAACTATCTTCAACTTCTTCGTCATCATCATCAGGCGCTGGTTCTGTTTTAGAAATCCTTGAGCAGCTTCCTAACCTGCTCAAGCGTCACAAACAGCACCACAGTGAAAGGTCCCTGCCTCGAAATCGTAGGGATGAATCCCTTGTATAGAGCCATAGGTCCTTCCGCCCTCACCGTCTTAATCGCGCAGTCCAATGCCCCGCTGTACGGCGCCGCCTTCCCCGCCTCCACGCTCATGTTCATAACCCTCGTCTTTATCACATCCACCGGATTCGACGCCACCGACGCCACAAACCCCGCCGCGAAGCTCGCCGTCACGTGGGTCCCCAGCCCGTCCCCCATCACGCCCTTCTCTAGAATCGACTCCTTTATCTGGTCGTACGACGCCAGCTGCGACGCCGTCACGATCATCGCCCGGTTCACCGTCAGCGACGACCCGCGCCACAGGCTGCCCACCCCTTCCTTCCTCGCCATCGACCCAATCGCGTCCACCACGCTCGTGTAGTTCCGCCGCGCAGCGGCGGGGAGCCTCCCGTCCGCCTGCATCCTCACCATCGCCACGTCGGCGGGGTTCCCGACGGCGGCGCCGATTCCGCCGGCGATGAGCCCGGCCGTGATTTTCCTGACCAGCGGCATGTTCCCCGTCTCCGGGTTGGTCCACTTGGTCTTCAGCACGTCGTAGAGGCCCATTCGGGTGGTGGAGTAGAGGGTCTGCCGGAGGACGGTGGCGGAGACGCCGGAGAACAGCGCTGCAGCTCCTTCCTGGCGAAGGATGTTCAACCCGACGGCGACGGGACCCACGGACGGGCGTGGAGCGGCCGTCACGTGGATGGCGGAAATGGCACCGCCGTTGTTGAAAGCGAAGGCTGGGCGGAGGACAGGGTTGGGAGCAGCCAAGCTCTCGCCCTGCAGCTGCATTCGGACCTTGATTAGATCCAGCGGGTGGGTCGAGCAGCCGGCGATGATGGAAGCGATTCCGCCCTCAACGAATCCCTTGACGCCCATTGCTATAAAGAATTTGGTGAAAAAATACCTAAATTTCTCTACAAAGAAGAAAAGAATTGGTAGGGACTAGGGAGGGAGCAAAAATGGATATAATGGGAAAAAAGGGGCAGGGGGATTGGAAATCAGAGAAGCCAGTTGGGGCTGAGGTCGCTGGAGACGAGGAAATGGGTATGCAAGCTGAAAGCTATGGAGGAGGAGTGAGGCACGAAAGGTCTCTGAGACATATGCCAATGAGGGGAATTTTTGTTGAACTGAGAGGCTTATAATATGGAGATGGTGGAAGAGAGTATATATAGCAGGAGAAAGGAAGGAAGCGGAAGAATGACGCGGTTCTATGGTGGTGATGGTGGACTGATGGTGGAATCATGTGGGGCCGGGTCGAAGTTTGGGTCAAAATTTGCACCTTCATATTTCCAGTCGTTCCTTCCCTCCAAGAGTTTTGACTTTTGATTCGGTGCCCCCTACATAAGTATGGGAGATTTTGGGATGAGTTGCCGGCTTACCGCTTCCTTAATTTATTTAATTTAATTATTTTTTTGCTTACGGATTTTCTTAATGCAAAGATTTTCTTTAGTCTTACGGGAAATTAATTATGTTTCTATTTAGCAGGTGTTTATGCTGTCTCGTTGGCGACCAATTGCAATTTAGGAGTCATTTGAAGGTTGAGATTTCAAACGATGTATTTAGTTAATTCATATAATGTCAAGATTAAGTCGTTTTGTTGATTATATTTGTGACAGAATACATGTATTACTTTTAACTGAGCCTACCTACAATCACTCATTTTCTGGATTAAATTTGTGACAGAATACATGTATTACCTTTTTCCTAGCCCACCTACAATCACTCAAAATGAGTGATTGTCAATCTCTATTGTGAATATAAGTGATATTAAATTATCCAACTATAAAAAATGTCATGTGTGTCCAATATGAAAATACTATTTGAACTTGTTTTTTCTTTAGTATTGACCGTTAGTAATTAACAAAAAAATTTATGTTAACTACGCGAATTAATTTTTAATATCAATTTTTATTTATTATTTCATCTAAAATGAATAAAATAGAAAAAGAGGAAAATAGAAAAAATACTCGAAGCAAGACGTAATATTGCAGTATCTACGTAAGTATAAGGTTCAACTTTTCGCATTAGTAGACACAAGGGTGAATCCTACCAAGGTCTTAAAGGCTAGGAAGAAATTGCAAGAGTGCCAGTTTGAGGATAATTATGTGAAAAGTCATCTAGGAAAGATCTGGATAGGATGGGCAGATGGTTTTGTAGTTAGAATATTGGCAAGAGAGGAGAATTATATATTATTTGTTTGTGATGGTAATTTAAACCCGTCCCACGGGTATTACTCGATCTGATCAGCGATGGGACGGGTATTACTCGATCCGTAGTAACGTGGTGCGAGGCATGCGTATCTACTATCGATCCACCATGTCCCGTCCCGTTTCGTTCTTCGCACATTCTACCTCAATTTCTTAAAATATCTATACATATTTCTCATATTTTGACTTTTCTTCAACTAGTTAGATTCGATCTTTCAACTGGTCATAACACCCATTCTCACTCATGTATAGATAATGGAAATAACAATTTCTATACTTCTCTCATAATACCTACATCTCCATATGTAGTCCCCTGTCTTTTGTATAAGTCTGGTACGAGCTAGCATACAAGTCAATAATTTTCATAAACACAAGAGGAAACTCACCAACCACTCCACTATCAATTCCATTCACCCATTCTCGGTTCACATATCACCTCCTTTTCCCCATGTGCCCGGACTGTAAACAAACAAGCACCAGCCTCCCGTCCGACTCCTTTTCTCCTCGCACAAAGACCCGGCCGGTGGAGAAAAGAAGCTCTCCGTGAGTTTTCCTCGACCAAAGGCAGCAGCATCGGCCCCTCGACCGGGAACGCCATCGGGAATTCCCTGTTCGCGTCGATTCGGCCAAAACCCACGATCAGGCACTCATCTTTGCACTCCATTGGGTAAGGCTCTCGATCCCAATCGAACTCCGAGCTTAGTTTAAACAGCAAATAACCCAACTCATGTATGTATGCTCATAGTTTGACGACAACATCGCAAGGGACTTGAACGGCGTTCGACAAAGGGGAAACGACGTTCCAACCCAGCAAATCTAGCTTTAGGCTCGTTCTGGAGGTAAGGAGTTCGACCTCATCGATTAAAGGCGAGTTATGGTTTGATCTATACGTATATACGTTTTCTTTTTTTTTAGCGACGAATATTGCAGTCTTTTAGTGACAAAATAGATTTCGTCGCTAAACAGCTTAGTCCCTCATAGTTTTTAGTTTTGACAAATTGGCCCGAAAATTGTATTTTCTTTATAATGATGTTTAGTTCCGATGCTTTCCAGTATGTATTTACATGATTTAATAATTTTATAAATTTTTGAAAATTCGTATGATACTTTATATTAATTTTATAATTTTTGGATCTGTATGGGTATTTATAAAAATTGAACGAGTCATCGTTAGCACCGTATAAAAATATTTCTGCTGCAAGTTTGAGAGAGAGTGCGATTCTCGGTGATTAGGGGTTTTCCTCGCGGTTCCTCGTTGCCGGCTCCGGCACCTGCGCCGGAGCAGCTCTTCTTTTTCCCCTCTTCTTTCCTGTTTCTTATGAGTGGAGTGAGTGACGAGGGTTCTACTTCGGCTTCAGCGGGTCAGAATGGCGATTCTCGGGGGATCCCGTCGAAACCCTGGGCATCGCTATTTGGGATCTCGGAGGCCAACCGCCTTACATATATCCCGCCCGAAGTCGTCAATGGTGGATTGAGAATGCCTAAAGTTGTTCGAGAGGCTGGTGCGGCTCGCTGGAAGCACAGTCTGGTGGGGCAATTTTTGCAGGATCCTCCTCCGTTGTATGTGCTTCGTCGATGGGTAAACAAACTATGGGGGCGAGATGGTCTGGTGAGGGTGTCAATGCTTTACGATAAGATGCTACTTATTCAGCTGCCCAACCAGAAGGTTTGTGACTGGATTCTAGAAAATGGTCCATGGTTTTGGTTTAATAATCTGCTATATCTTCGTCCTTGGGTCCCGGGTATCAGTTTTGAAGACATGGGTAGGAAGGCTCTGCCGATATGGGTGAAGTTAGCGAATGTTCCGCTTGAATACAGTGATTTTCAGGGTTTAAGCAGAATAGCAAGTTGGATTGGGGTGCCTCTTGGAATGGATCATGCTACTCGTATGGGGGATCGACATGGATTTGCGAAAGTCTTGGTTGAGCTTACAGTTGACAGTGAATGCCCTGATCACGTGCTACTGTGGCCTGATGATGAGAGTTCTATTCGGATTGGAATCGCTTATTGCAATCTTCCTAGTATCTGTAAGGTGTGTCATCTCTTTGGCACGACTGGTAGTTGTGCAAGCCATCAAGGGAAGCAATGGGTGGGGAAGGCAATGCTTAATGAGAAGGAATCGAATGATCAGGGGCAGGAGGCTTTGGTTCCACCAAGTCAGGAGACCATTATGAATGTGGAGAAACAAGGTGTATCTGCAAAGGGTAAGGAGATAATGCTGATTGAAGACCCACAGCTGCAAGCCATTTTTTCAACTCCTGATCCTGGTGGGGGGAAAGTAACTCCGCAAAATTTAGAACAGTCGTTTAAGGAGGTGGCCACATCATCATCGCCAAAGTTACCTTCGGAAGCTGAGTTTCAGAGAGTTGTAAATGGGGCTAGACCTCGGATATGGATTTCTCAGGATAGTGCAAAGAGTATACAGGCGGCCAACACATCTTTCAGTGTGTTAGGGAAGCTGGGTGATTCAGAAGTTGGCAAGGAAGGTAAGCAGATACCAGAAGCACCACGGAAAAAAGAGGGGAAGAAGGATACAAAGAAGGGTGGGGGGAAACCCCCAACTTCGAAATGATAATCTTGTTTTGGAATCTACGGGGGTTTAACAAAACCTCCAAGCAGAGGGACTTGTTGCAAGTCCTGCGTAGGAATAGGGTGGATGTGGTAGCAGTTCTTGAAACCAGAGTTCAAGCAAATAAGGCTGAAGAAGTGGTGAAAGAAGTGTTTGGGGATTGGCAAAAATGTCTGAATTGTGTTGATTCGAAGTTGGGGCGTGTCTGGTTGTTCTGGGATCCAACAATTAAGTTACAAGTGCTGAAACCAAGTAAGAATTTCATTCACTGTTTGATTGAGGATGTGAATAAGGACACATTTTTTCTTACAGCAGTCTATGCTTCGAATGATGAAGCTGAAAGAAGGCAAACTTACAGGGAGATCGCGCAGTTGAAGGTGAGTGGCCACCCATGGATAGTAGGTGGAGATTTCAACACTGTCAGAATGCCTATGGAAACATCTAATCAACGTGTAGTTACTGCAAGTATGGAGGACTTCAATCAGTGGATTGAAGGGATGGAGCTGTTAGATTATAGAACAGCAGGTCCACAGTTTACATGGACAAACAGGCAGACTCACCATCCTATAGCTCGAAGACTTGACAGGGGCCTTGTTAATATGGAGTGGATTGAGTATTTCCAAGATTGTACTATGGAAACTATCCCGGGTCATTTCTCAGATCATTGTGGAGTGAAGGTAAGTACGGTGGCTCCTCTTCAATCAATGCCTAAACCGTTTAAATACTTTGAATATTGGGCCGAGCACCCCCTCTTTTTAGGGATAGTTGAAGCTGCTTGGAATGTAGAAGTTACTGGGACACCATTACAGATCATACAGAGGAAGTTGGTAAAGGTTAAAATTGCTCTAAAGAAGTTCAATCAGGAAGTCTATGGCAATTTACAAGATCAAGTTAAACAGGCAGAGAGTGCTTTGTTGCGAGCCCAGGGTGATGCATATTCCTGTCCCTCCACAGCAAGCTTTGAAGAAGTAACAGCTCGTAAAGACCACTTTGATCATATTACCTCGGCTTATGAAAGTTTCTGCTGGCAGAAGTCGAGGGTGTCTTGGCTGCAAAGGGGTGATCAGAGTTCACATTTCTTCCATCAAGCAGTTAAGATA